TAATTAACATAAAATGTGGTGTTCCACAGGGTTCTATTTTTGCTTTTAGTCTATATAAATGATTTAATTAAAGCTTCTAACCTTATGAGTATCACTTTTGCGGACAAAACTAATTTATTTCTGTCAAACAGTGACATTTATGAGCTTTTTTCAAATATGAGTTAAGAACTCAATAACATCTCAAACTGGTTTAAGTGCAACAAGTTAACTTTAAACATTGACAAAAAAAAAAATGGACCCTTTTCCACTCTCTTGCAAAAAAGTGTTTTTTACCAAATATCTTACCTAAACTTATTATTGATAAAATTAAAATAAAAAAGGAATCGATCAAGATTTTTAGGCATTTACATTGATGAAAATATTACATGGAAGTATCATATCGACTTTATTTCTACTAAATTGGCTAAAAGTATTGGAATTCAAAAATTTAATTCAACAACAAAATTTAATTCAACTCTACTACTCATTTATTCATAGCTATGTAAACTAAAAGTTTCTAAAAGTAAGTTAAGAAATCTCTACCATCTTCAGAAACACGCAATGCATTTAATATGTTTTGAAAGTCGTTTTTCTCATTTAAATTGTTTTTCTCAATGGAACCAGTGTATTCCTGCATTAATAAAAAAGTCAAGGAAAAATATTTAACTTTATATTTTATAATTTAGCTTTATTGTTTCAAGATAAAGTTTTTTTCTTGAAAGATATGCTGGTATTATTGGCACAATGAACAAGCATTGAAGTGCAACTTAGTGAACTACAAAACACATCAAATTCAGTTATAAAAACTTGAGTATCAAAGGTATGCTAATTATTGTGAAAATTGAAAGAGTGTCATTGCCATTAAAAGCAGTAAAGAATTCAAGTACTCTCGAAAAAAAAAGACAAGAAAATACTTAAGTAAATGGTAAATATTTTTTTATGATCTGTTTATGCATTTTGTATGATATCTTAGTACAATTTATAAACTTTAAATAAAATACTCTTTAAAAATTTTTTATAAATGACATTTTATATTAATTTAAGTCTAAACAAAAGTTACTTTAATTATTGCGTTGTGTATTTTTTCAGGTTAATTATTTGACACAAATTGGAGTTAAAGACGATGGAGATTGTATATGTTATTTACTAAGAAAAGTTTTTTAAAATGGCCAAGCAGTAAAATTAAATGCAGGGAGAAATAAAATGCAGTAAAATAAAATGCAGAGAGAGGACAAAAATTGGAATAGGAAAAATGTTGATTGCATATGTTGCTATTGGTAAGTGGTTTAGAAAAGTTTATTTTTTGAGTTTCAATTTTGCATTACAGAACTACTTTAAATTTGTTATGCTTCTTTGGTGCATAATTAAACAAACAACTATTTTTTTTTGCAGAAACTGTGAAGTCAAATAAGCATGGCTTATGCAGACATGTGATAGAGATAATGGAAGAAAAAATAATAATCGTGGGCACCAAATATGATAAGCTAAACACGATTCAATAACAAGTAGCTCAGCCAATATCGAAACTACTCTATAAATTTTATAGTGAACTTTTTTTATTTAAAACTCAATGTGTCAGACTTTGGTTTAAGTTTGGTGTTTGCAATATGTATATTTAACCGAGAAATTATGTTAAATAAATAAATTTTTATACTTGTATCATACATTCTTTTTTTTTCTCTATAATTTTTCAATGTAGCGTTGCAAATCATCTTATTTGTAACAACAATCTAATGTTGCATAAAACGTTAGGCCGATATAAAAATAGTAATCGTATAACATACGATATTGGGCCAATGTTGTATACAACGTTAGGCCAATTTTGTATACAACGTTGGGCCATTGTTGTGTACAACGTTGGGTCAATGTTGTTTACAATATTGGCCTAACGTTATATACAACGTTGTGCCAATGTTGGGTAAACGTTGTATACAACCAGGGTTGCAAAAAAACCGGTTTTTTTGAAAAAAACCAAAAACCATAGGTTTTTTTAAAAAAACTAAAAAAACCATGGTTTTTTTGGTTCAAATTAGGTTTTTACTAAAAAATGCGGAATTTAGTTATCCTTTTAAATTAAAAAAAGAATAACGTATTTTATTTGAGTAAACTATATTCTTTATCAATATTATTGTTATATTTCATCAAAATTATTTAATATATTATTGTTTAATGTTCTATATATAAATAAAAGCTTTGCTGCTTTTTCTACCCCCAATCGGTTTCTTAACTTAGAATGAACAAGACAAAAATTGAAAAAATTCTTTTGATTCCAGCACAAGAAGCTGGTGCATTTAATAAACCTTCAATTTTCATTATGTTATAGTAGATTTGGCTTTTAATTTGAGTAATATTGGTTACAAATTCTTGAACTCTTTATCTGCGAAATTCATGGCAGCTTCATTTTCATTTTCAGAAAGATTAGATCCAAAATATCTAGGATCTAGTGTGTTTGCCAGGAAATGAGCATCACTGACAGTCTGAAGGTATCTAGATTCAATTTTTTTTGTTGACTAAAGTGATAAACTGTTCATCAAATTTTTAAAAATTTCAAGAGTTACTTATTTTTGTTTGATCTTTTTGCAACTTAGAGTTACTGCAATTGGTTTCAATATTTTCAATAAATCTTCTGTGTTTCGCTTTATCAGTATATCACTTACTTTTTTATCAATGACGGAATCCAAGTCTTTATTTTTTTCAAACATTCTAAAAATAATGCTCCAGTTGTTGACATATTTTTCAAGTGAATCATATACAGAATTCCAGTGAGTTTCAGTAGGAAGTGGCAATTTTGTTCCTCCGCCTAATATATAAATTGCTCTAGCTTGATGATTATTTCTTATATATTTTATTATTTGTGTAACATGCTTGCTCACATTTTCAATGTTAAGATCATTTGCTAAAAGATTCAGCATATGAGCAGCACACCCATAAGTTATGATAATATCTCTTTCAGATGACAATACTTGTCTCATTGATTTCACATTAGCTGCATTGTCAGTCACAAAGCTTTTTACTGTGCACCCAAATTTACGCCTTACAAAATCTATTGCTTCTCTTGCTAATTGTGTAAGATATTCACCAGTATGTGAATGACCTGAAGTGTTGATTGTTTCTACTAAAATGTTAATTTTATCTGTAATTACAGAGATACAAACTATAGGTTTAATATGTACTTTACTCCAGCCATCTAAAGACACGACTACAATTTTCCCATTCAATACATTACATTTTTTAATTTCTTCTTTTTAAACCCTATCTAATAATTCTCCTCCAATTTCAGTTCTATTAGGTAGAGTGTATTGTGGATGAAGCATATTGATAAATTTTTGAAAAAAAACAAAAACAAAAATTATGGATTAAAAAAAATATATCTATATTGAAGATTAGTTATATTTGTGAGCATAACCCTACCTTAGTTTCCTGTTGTAAGTTCAAATCTTTTTAAAAAAACATTAGTTTGGTTTAAACCAACATTTTTTTAATTGGTTTAAACCATTTGGTTAAAACCATGCAACCCTGTATACAACATTGGGCCAATGTTGTACACAACGTTGGGCCAATACCTAACCAATGATCAAACCTGCATTGGGCCAACATCGACTCTCAACGTTGGGCCAATGCATCATCATACATTGGCACAACGTTGGTCCAATGTCTGTCTGGGTATTTAATGTTTTATGTTTCGTTGTAAAAGTGAACAACAATTGTTCAATTTCAAAGATCTTTTTATCTATAAAGCTATAAGCAAATATACTTTACGAAAGAATAATTTATTAATTAAAGCCTTTTGTCAAACAAAGTTTAATCAATTTTGCATAAACTATTGAACACCGTAATTATGGAACAAAATTGCTGTTCCAAATTTTGATTTGTCAATTTCGTTTTCCGTTTTTAAAACTAAATTAAAAAACTATATTCTTTCTACTGGCAATATATATAAATATATTTGTAAAATTATTTTTTTACTCTTGATAATTTGAAAAATTATTTTTAATTTTTGTTTCTTCTACATAGTTAATGGTTATTAGATCAATTGTATCTTTGTTTTATTATATATACACATATTATATATTTTATATGGTTCTGGCGACAAGATCATTTGGATCGTCTTTTAGATACCAAGTTTATATATTGTCATATTGTTATATAACGATTAATAATTGTAAGCTAATATATATATATATATATATATATATATATATATATATATATATATATATACATATATATATACATATATATATACATATATATATATATATATATATATATATATATATATATATATATATATATATATATATACATATATATATATATATATATATATATATATATATATATATATATATATATATATATATATATACATATATATACACATGTATATATATATACATATATATATATATATATATATATATATATATATATATATATATATATATATATATATATATATATATATATATATATATATATGTATATATATATATTTATATATGTATATATATATATATATATATATATATATATATATATATATATATATATATATATATATATATATATATATATATATATATATATATATATATATATATATATATATATATAGGCCAATGCATGACGATGCATTGGCCCAACGTTGAAAGTCGATGTTGGCCCAATGCAGGTTTGATCATTGGTTAGGTATTGGCCCAATGTTGTATACAACGTCTATCCAACATTGGCCCAATGTTGTTTATAACGTTAGGCCAATGTTGTATACAACATTGGCCCAATATTGTATACAACAATATATTAGCCTAACGTTTATATAGGGCCAATGTTGTATACAACAAGATATCAGCCTAACGTTTTATGCAACATTAGATCGTTGTTACAAATAAGACGATTTGCATCCCTACATTGAAAATTTATAGAGAAAAAAAAAGAATGTATGATACAAGTATAAACATTTATTTATTTAACATAATTTCTCAGTTATATAAACATATTGCAAACACCAAACTTAAAACATTGAGTTTTTAAAAAAAAAAAATTCACTATAAAATTTATAGAGTAGTTTCGATATTGGCTAAGCTACTTGTTATTGAATCGTGTTTAGCTTATGATATTTGATGTCCACGATTATTATTTCTTCTTCCGCTATCTCTATCACATGTCTGCTTAAGCCATGCTTATTTGACTTGACAGTTTCTGCAAAAAAAATTGTTGTTTGTTTATTTATACACCAAAGAAACATAACAAATTGAAAGTAGTTCTGTAATACAAAATTGAAACTGAAAAAATAAACTTTTCTAAACCACTTACCAATAGCAACATATGCAATCAACATTTTTCCTATTCTAATTTTTTGTCCTCTCCCGGCATAGTTTAATTTTAAAGCTAGGCCATTTTAAAAAACTATTCTTAGTAAATAACATATACAATCTCTTTCATCTTTAACTCCAATTTGTGACAAATAATTGACCTGCAAATATACACAACCTGGCAATAATTAAAGTAACTTTTGTTTAGACTTAAATTAATATAAAATGTCATTTACAAAAAATCTTCAAAGAGTATTTTATTTAAAGTTTATAAATTGTACTAAGATATCATACAAAATGCATAAACAGATCATAAAAAAATATTTACCATTTACTTAAGTATTTTCTTGTCTTTTTTTTCGAGAGTACTTGAATTCTTTACTGCTTTTAATGGCAATGACACTCTTTCAGGCAATACAACAATTAGCATACCTTTGTTACTCAAATTTTTATAACTGAATTTGATGTGTTTTGTAGTTCACCAAGTTGCACTTTAATGCTTGCCCATTGTCCCAATAATACCAGCATATCTTTCAAGGATACAATTTTATCTTGAAACAATAAAGTTAATTATATTATTTCAAAACTATACAACTAATTACATATTATATTTAGAATTTATGAAAGTAAATACAACAATCACTAATAAAACAGATAAAATTAAAGACAGAGGGGCAAATTTTTAATGATAAAAATATATACTTGCTAATGGATTTATAATATTTTTATGAATTGCGAAATTTGCAGGTGTGTATTATATTTCTGGCACTGACACAAAACAATTCTCGTTAATGTTAAAGATACAGATTGCACTGTAAAACAAAAAAATTCATATTAAAACAATGTTTCTCCAACAGGGTTCGTAGCCAACTATTTATATAAAATTCAATGACTTTTATGAAAACTCAGATGAATTTCCTGACCATTTTTAACAATGGTTTTTACAAAATGTTTAAAATTACTATCTACTGTAATGGAAATGCTAAGATTGTACATGCTTTGAATGACAAAACTTATAAAACTTAGCTATTAGTTAAGTATATTAGTATAAAGCTTACTATACATGTTAGTATGGATCTTATAATTAAGGATGACTAAGAATGAACACTAAGAAAAAAATATAGGTTTCAGAGACTATAAATGGGTTGCACCAAAAAAAACATAGCTTAATTGAGTATTTTAAAAATGTGACAAGTCACAAAATTAAAATTTTACAAGAGAATGAAAAACATTTCTCCTGTAAAAACTTTATTTTTAGTTTATCTAAAAATTGTTTCTTTCATCTAAAAAAATCTTTATTTATTCTAATAAAATCTTTATTTTATCTTATAATTCTATCTTTTCCTTAAAAAAAAAATACTCTTTTCAAATAACCTCACTTTTAAAAAAAGTGTGACTTATCATGCTTTCAAAATACAGCATTTAATTGTGAAACGAGTAGCTTCTTAACTAGATTACTGATTTTTTCATGACTATCTAAAGAAATCATTCCCTGACTTATCCAGGTTTTCCACAACTTTAGCCAATATTAACAAATTTTCCAGATTTTCAAGGTACAGTCCAATGTTTGTAAACAAATTTTCTTACATGTTTTAGTTCTGAATTTTATTAATAAAATTTTTAAAAATAATATCATCTATAAAAATATTGTTTTTCCATCGTCTATTAGATAAATTTAAATAAACGTTTATATAATGAACAATAATGAACTACCAGCAACTATTAAAACTTTAAACTGATATGAATACTCTGTTTTTTTTTTTTTCAACAGTTGATTTTGTTGAATTTCAATGTTGGTGACACCTACTTTGAAATTCAACAAAAAATTTTTGTTACGTTCATAAACTTAATTGTTCTCAAAACGACTAAAAAACCTGGCCAGTTTTTTGCAACTAAATAAAATTTCCGTGGTCAGTATTCGAGACCAAGCCTGTGGTCAGTATTCCGTGGTCAGTATTCGAGACCAAGCCAATAAGTTGGCCTTGTTTTAAAGCGTTACGCCTAGAGCGATTTACGTACGCCTTAAGCTCTTTTTACGTACGCGTAGCTTTTTTAAGCTACTTTTTATCATTTTTTAACTTTTAAATTAGCGGTAACATAAAAGAAGTAATTTATTTTCAAAAAAACCACATTAACTTTTAAATAACGATATGTAAAAGTATTTATTAAAAAAATAGAATTTACTTTTAAAATAATTGTTGTAACTTTTCATCGCGATATATCTTTCCTTTTTATAGCAATTAATTTGACGCTAAACTTCTTATCCAAATATTTAGCAACATGAAAAATTGTTTATCAATCCTTAACTACAAATTTTTTGCAATGTTTTTAATAAAAAGTAGTAATTTTTTAAAGTTTTTAGTAAAAAACTTTAAAAAAATCTTTATTCCATATTTATTAATACAGAATGTAAAAGTTTTTAGTAATATAGATTTTTTTATGATTTTTTTACTAAATTTATAATAAAAAACATTTGCAAAAAAATTTGTAATTAAGAATTGACATTTTTTTTAATAAAATCTCAAAAAATGTCTTAATATTTTTGATATCATGATAACAAAAACATCAAGACATTTTTTCGAGATGTTAAAAAAAATGTCTTTGCTTTTCTTATTAGTTTAATAGTATATAGCTTTTCTTATTAGTTTATTAGTATATAGTTTAAGTTATGCGGGGGGAGGGGGTCGGCACAGAAAAAAAAAATTACCTGTTACTCGCAATATTTGAATGAAGACAATTTGTTAAAATTTTTCTGCGTGCGATTCAATAAGTTTTTTTTTTCATAAATCAAGTTATAATATAAGGTAAAGAAATCATGTGTAGACTACAACATCCGCTGATGACACTAATATTACGTTGAATATATTTATATAACGGAGGTTTTATTATGCACGCGCACATTACAGGTTCCGTTAAATAAATCTCCATTAGTCTCCATTTTTTACTAATGAATATGTATTTTTCTTTATAAAACAAAACAAACTAGTATATAAAAACCTTGTATATTTCTATTATCTCTAAATTGTTTAAAGTTCGAATATGGATTGTATTTTGAAGGACAAAAGATTTACTTTAAAAACTTTTAAATCTTGGGACTTTGCCGATGCTTTGCCGATGCGATAATCACAGAAAAAGAGAAGACTTACGTTATTAAAATCAAATGTAAGTTATGTGATCTTCATCAAAATAAAATATTATCCAAAAACAATAGTGCCGTAAGGGCAACTGCCCAACGGTTTATAAATAATACAAGTCATGTTAAAATATTTTAACATGTTACTATATTTTAATTAAGTTGATATATAGTTAAAAATAAAAATATAGTTCAATAAATAAATTAAATTTATTCTTAACAAAGATTACCTCGTATTTATTCTTTTTTTTATTTTATTAAGTTAAATTGCTTACAAACGAAAAAAAAAAAGAGTTTTGTAATTATACGTAGAAATATACTGAAATACTTTTAAGTTTGTTTATAAGTTAAGGAACTTAATTTTTAATAAACAAATTTTTACGAATGTTTATTATAAACAGATACGATTCAAATTATTAAATATACTTAAATTATTTCACTTGAGCATTTTTTTAAGTTTGCACGATTAAAGTTTGACGTAGAAGTATTTGTTTTTTTGTTTTAAGAATAATTAACAAAAGAGTTTGCATAATTAAGACTTTTATATTTAATTTAATTTTTTTTTTAATTTCCTAAAATTGAAAAAAAAAAAGATTTAATCGTTGAAAACGGTTTTTCTCTATAGCTCTGTTTCTTTGTGATTTGTTTAAAAAGTTAAATATTTTTACAATAACATAAAAAATTTATGAATTAAATTCCTAGCGAACGCGTTCTAAACTACGTATCAAAAATATGCTCAAAGCAGCCAAAACTTTTTTATATTTTTATAAAACGCAAGTTGAAACGCTTTTAAAAATTTAAAAAATATTTAAAAACCTTTTTAAAAAATTTTTCTTCGCTAGTCAAAATAAAATCGTTGTTTAAATAATTAACATGGGTTTGTGTTTATCAATGTTAATATTTTTTGTTTACTCTAGAAATTTTTAAAAATAAAAAAAATCATTATTTTTTATTCAATAACGATTAAAAACAATTATTCAAAAACAAATTTCAGAAATAATTAATATATATATATATATATATATATATATATATATATATATATATATATATATATATATATATATATATATATATATATATATATATATATATATACATATATTAAGCCACTGTCATGTATATGAAAACACTTGGCTCAGTGTGGGATTTATGTATTGTGGATATATTATTCGTTTGCCACAAAAAAAAAAAGTCAAAAAATGTTTAATCTTTTTGGGAAATGCAATAAAAAAACTTTCAAATTCTACATAAAGTCACTTAAGGTCCGTAAATAAAACTCTACTTTTATGCGGTTGTTTTTTTTAAACGTATAAAATATACAGCAAACTACGAAGACTTACGTTCAAAATAAAATCTGTTTACCAAACTAAAACGTAAGCTAATTATTTTTTAACAAATAGTTTAAAACATATTTCATTTAGAAACTTAAATCGAAAAATAGTTTCTTCTTTTATTTTTTAGTTATATAATAAATTCATATTGTCATATTAGCATGAGCTCAAAAAAACTTGGACGACCTGTGAAAGTTTTAAACAAAACTCGTGTTTATAGTGGAAGATTTGCTGGATGAGCCTCTGGTTTACCCGTAAGCGATCTACCAACTTATAAACAGGTCATTCAATACGGTTACAAGGTTGAGAAAGAATTGTTTAATGGACAGAAACTTGACTCTGTATCAATCGTAACTAAAGTCAATAGTGACTTGCAACAGCTTTGGTGTAGGGTTAATCCAAATCTACCTCTGATAAAAGATAAACCATTGAAAAATAAAATATCAAGAACATTTTTAAAGGTGTTGTCTGCAGAACGAACTTAATCTAAAAACCATAAGTCCAGTATAAGCTGGCTAGAAAAGAAACTGGAAACATTGTTGTCTGTTTGCCGGTGCGATCTTCCAATTATTGATGATTGTCATGATAGGTAAACATACATTTTTTAACGTTTTTTATTACAACTTTTTTTTAATGTTAAGTGAAAAAGATTTTGTAAAGGTAAATGAAAATTTACAACCCCATCCCTCTGCCTTCTACTAAGGTATTAAAGTAAGGCATACAACCGTAAACTAATGGATGTAAGCCTATCCAATAAATAGTTTCTATATTGTTTTGATTTTAAAGTAGAATAATATACGTTTAGACGAATTGGATGTCGGAAAAGTAATTGCACAATAAAACACATAGTTTGTCTCTGTGAGGAAAGTAGAAAGGTAATTCATGCCATTTTTGTGTTGATATTATTAGGCATTTACAGTTAAAATTCATAATAATGTAAGGTTTAGGAAAATAAAATAGTCTAAAATCATTTTAAAAATTGCTGCTCTTTTACGAAGTTATGTTAAAATTATTATTGATTACTAATCATTTGACCGTTAATTCTTTCTATTTACTTTAAACTTAAATACGTTCAATTTTAGAATATTTGACTTATTTTAGGTCCCTGTTCTGGAAAGAGAATATTTAAAGAACCAAAGATGCAAGATAGGACCAAAAGGAAGTTGGCAGTTAGGCAATGTGGACCATGTGGAGGCAACAAGGAAAGCCAAAAAGTATATTAGAGAGGAAAACGAGGCAACTAAAAAGCTAATTAGACAAAAAAATCTTCAAGAAACATTAGAAGTCGATTCAAATGGTAGTTTTAGTGCTGAATCTTCAAGTTTAGATAATAAGATACAATAAGATGCAATAAGATACGAAGTAAGGGATACTGCAGCAGCTGCAATAGCAACAGCTGTATTAATTGACTACGGAATAGTCCCAGCCGGCACAATGCGTGTCAAATAAAACCATTAGTTCCTTACACGTGTTAAAAACTTTATAAATAACGCATGCTTAACTTTATAAATGAACAGGTTCTAAACTCGTGTTAATAATTCCGTCATTTAGAGTGATCAACAGGAATTTTTATAAATAATATAAATTGCTATAGTAATTTAAGAAAGAAGACAGTAAACTTAATTAATAATAAATATGATAGATATCTCATAGTAGCGCCTACTAAATGGCAAATTTTATGTGTCCATAGGATGAGTTCATTTCTTATAAACTTAGAAACTTACGAAAGTTCTTAAGTTTAAGTTCAAACATTATTAAATATTGTTCAAATATAAATTATTTAACTTAGCTGAATATTATATATTTATTTAATATTATTTAATAAATTTATAATTCAAATTGATTATATTTTGTATTTGTAAGCTGTTATAAAAATATAATAATCCTATTCTCACAAGAAGTTGAGTTATATATTTAGTTATGTATATATATATATATATATATATATATATATATATATATATATATATATATATATAATAAAAGTTATTGTTTATGTTTATATATATGAACATATACATAACTAAATATATAACTTAAGTTATTGTCAGAATAGGATAAATATGTTTTTATAACAGCTTACAAATGCAAAACAATAAATTAGAATTATAAATTTATAATGTAAATTATAATATAAATTTATACTGTAATTGATATTAATCACAGATATCAATTACAATTTAAGAATGCTCAAAATCAACAAGCGTAAAAATTGTGGATATATGAAACGTTGAAACGTTACATGAAAAATTATCGGGCTAGGTCAAATTTATTAGCAGAAATGTTAAACACTGATACATTGGTTGCTAATAAAAAGCTTTTAAACATTAAAGATCATTTGGATAGTGACAATACCAGTGAGAATGAAGAATTCAATAGTCCTGATACATTTAAAGATGTAGATTCAAATAGTATGCAAAATGATACTGCTTCTCTGCATCTGTATGATGAAGAATGTATTTTAGAACCAGATGATGTTAGCCTTGTATCTTCAAGTGAAGATGAAATTAAAATTACTTTTAAAGAAACAACATTTGAATTTTTAACAAAGCTTGCACAATGGGCTATTGAATCTAGATTGCCACACGAAAAAATTAATGAACTTCTGAAGATCTTGGATAATTGTGGGAGGTTCAACAAAGGTGACATCCCAAAAGATGCTCGTGCCTTATTACACACTCCTCGAACTGTTAACACCGTGCAAACGTCTGGTGGTCATTTTGCTTATTTTGGTTTAGAAAAAAGTTTAATTCAAAAGATTCTTTCTCTACCTTTTATTTTCAAAGATCGAACAGTTTTAAAATTAAATATTAATATTGATGGGGTTCCTATTCATCGTTCAAGTAATCTCCAATTTTGGCCTATTTTATGTGCTTTCCATGGTATTAATACAACTCCATTTGTAATAGCTATATTTAGTGGTTATAGAAAACCATTAAACATTAATGAATATTTAGAGCAGTTTATTGATGAAATCAACTTTTTGCAGAAAAATTCTATGGTGGTTGATGGCAAGATATATGAAATAAAGCTTAATGCATTTATTTGTGATGCTCCTGCCAGAGCTTTTGTTAAATGTGTATCAGGCCATACCTCAAAGCAAGGATGTGAAAGATGCACTTGTGAAGGTCAATCTGTAGAAAGAAGAATAATTTTTTCGAATGCAGGCGAAAGTAGAACAGATTCTTTATTTCGGTTAGGACAATATCCTAAGCATTACTTAAGTAAAAGTCCTGCTCTTAATATTGATCATTTTGATGTTATTAAAGGTTTTCCATTAGAATCAATGCATTTATTGTTTCTTGGGGTTTGCAGGAGATATTTAATGTTTCTTAAAACAGGGCCACGAAATGTTAGACTCAGCCATGCTCAGCTAAATACTATATCATTACGCTTAACAGAATTATCACAATATACACCATCAGATTTTATGAGACGACCACGCAGTTTATTTGAAGTGGATCGTTGGAAAGCTACAGAGTTTCGGCAGTTGGTTTTATACACTGGTATTTTGATATTTAAAGGTGTACTTAACGATCAGCATTACGATTTATTTAAATCATTTTTTATAGCTGTACGGATTTTACACATTGATAATGATGAATATAGAAACAAGTTGTTGGGGTTTGCACGTTGCCTATTTCAAAGTTTTGTCTACAATGCTAAAATACTTTGTGGTGAAACCTTCCTTACATACAATGTTCACAATTTACTTCACATTGTCGATGATGTAGAATATTTTAGGTGTTCACTTAGTTATTTATCTTCTTTTCCTTTTGAAAACATTTTACAATGTTTGAAACGAACTGTTCGAGATGCGAAAACTAATCCCTTAACATCATACACTAAAAGATTTTTTGAAGCTTCACAAATTCAGCTATCTACTTATGAAACAATGTTAAATATGAAAGTGTCAACAATTAGAAGAGACCAATTCTTTATTAGTAAGAATGAAAAATATTGTGAAGTTATTGGAATTTCAGGATCAAGTGATAATCAACAATTACTTTGTTTAGTTATCAATCCAAGCCAGTTAAAAAGTTTTTTTGATGTACCTTTAGATAGTAGACAGTGGGGTATACTTTGTTGTGACAGTATTAGAAAATTGAAGCGTAAAACTGTAACTTTAAATAAAGCTGACGTTTATAAAAAACTGTATGCAATGAAGTATGGCGATGACGGTTTGCTCTTTGTTCCAGTTCTTCACAAAAATGAATGCAAACAATAGTTCAATTGTATTTAGTTTTTAGTTAATTCAAAAAAAAAATTTCATTGTTACAAGTATAATGCTATTTTTAAAACAATTAACAGTTGTTTGCACATATAATTAAGAAATGATTTTTTTGTTGTTGTTGATATTATTTTCATTTATTTTAACTATTGACTATAATTTACAAAATGTTCTGTATTATTTATTTTTGATTGACAAAAAAATTAAGATTTTAGAAACTTATTACTTGCGCTGTTGGTAATAATCATTGCTTCTGAAGTCATTGCTTCACAGACAATTTATGGTTTGATTATTTTGCTTTTTGTGTGTTTTACATTTGTATTTGATGTGTTTTATATATATATATATATATATATATATATATATATATATATATATATATATATATATATATATATATATATATATATATATATATATATATGTATATACAGTCTTGGAAAAAAGTTTAAGACCACTTGCGAAAAACTGAAAATTTAATGAAAAAACTATTACAGTACAAAAAATAATTGGGAAATTATTTTTTGATTATATAATAATAATTGGGAAACTGTGTTAACTAGCTATGGTTGCCAAATAAAAACTTATACACGCTCAATTTTATTTTAGGCACCAAAGTATAGCATTTTTATGTAGTGGTTTTAGACTATATATATATATATATATATATATATATATATATATATATATGTATATATATATATATATATATATATATATATATATATATATATATATATATATATATATATATATATATATATGTTGCACTTATTCTCACTTGATTTCTAGGATAAATATTGTACTGCGGTATGGAAAGAAGGGTTAAAAACCATACAAGAAAACATTCCTGTTTGTTGGATAGATATGATAGAGAAGTGTGTACGTTATCCTTCTGAGCCGGATAGACCTGTCATTCAAATGATTACAGATTGCACAGAGCCTGACATACAATGGTTTTCATTTCCACTTCAAAAAGTGAAACGTTTTAGTGGTACTAATGTTTTTGATTTTATTGAAAAGTATATATTTTCTATTAAAATGTTTAAGTTATTTTTCATAAAAATTTTATTTTATACTTCTAAAGTCATGTACAAATACATTATACATAACAAAGAGCAACACAAATAATTTATTTAATTATTTTGCTTACAGATTCTTTAGTGGAACTTGAAAATTTATATAATGTAACTACTGAGGAAGACACTGGGTCAGCAAATGTAGAGCTAATAAATACAAATAAAAACAATGATCTTCAATGTTTTTGTAAGTTTGCATATAATATTATTTCTAAAAAAATTTATTTTTTTAATTATTTATATATTTTACTATTTCAGGAAAATGTACGTTAAAATTTTTATTTAGTTAAAAAGTTTTTTTTTTAAAAAAAGATAAGGAAAATATTATTTGTGGTGGTGATAAGTGGCATTAAAGCTATAGGTTTTGTAAACAATTTCTAATATCTAGACAAAGCAAGTGTAGCTAACGAAAAGTTGACATCAATGCAGCATTCTTTATCTACTAAGAAAGGTAAAAGAAAATTTTGTATTTATTTATTTTTTTTTTTTTTGCTTTCTTGTTTGTTTGTTTGTTTTTTTTTCCTGGTATTTTATTATGAATTTTCATTAGGTATAAAACATAAATAACACCATCGTGCTAAATAATTTTAAGTATAAGTTAGTAGGAATGCTCCTGTTATTTATATTTTATACCTTATTATAATTTCTAATATTTTTATGTTTTATAGCTGATTATAATTTCTAAATACAACAAATGATGTTGCAGTACACTATTATATCTATTTCATTGCTTATACTTATTTTTTATAAATTGCTTGTAGGAAAAGTTCTTAAAGCATGTTATGATACAATAACAGGTAAATTGATCCATTCCTTGTTGTGGTTAATAGTAGTTGTTATAATGTAACGGTTAAATTCTTGATTCCATTATGACTTTTAAAAGTCTTAAAATTCATCAAAGTGGTTGTTGCAAGAGTTTTACGTAATTTATGGGTTGTTAAGTTTTAGTGTTTCCATAGTTAAAAGTAAAAGTTCATTATCATTATTTCAAGTTATCAAACTTATTATACCTTTCAGAAACACTGGTGGATTATCCTGTGATTCAAAATTTTTTGGAAAAACCAAATAATGGTTAGTATTCACTTTCACATTAGAAACAAATCATGACTATGATTTGTTTGTAAATAATTCTGAGAATATAGTTTACAATGATTTAAATACTTATAACAGTTTATAAACTTATACTTATAAACACTTATAACATTTTTAATTAAAGAGCATTTTCATAATCCTTTAACAGACATCTCCGGCCTTATATTATTTTAGCTTTAAGAGCAGATATTCTCTTATATAAGTTTTCTAAGGTTTTTTAAGTTTATCTTCCCAAAGCTACCAGAACAGGGTGTAAAACAGGAATAAAATTTTATGTTTACTTTGATTGGGAATAAAAATTCCTCCACATCAAAAAAAAATCCATAAAAAACCTCACATTAATAGTTTTTTTCAACTATTTTGTATTTATTTATTGAGCACTTATTTGAAAATATTTTTTTAAGGTAAAAAACGAGAAGGATGGTTGGTGAAATCAAATTCACCTAAAAAAAAAAAAA